CATAGGCCCAAATAGGTTGTGATTGTTCTAAATTGCATGTATGTATGTATGTATGCATGTATGTGTATGTATATATGCATACATGCGTATGCATGTATGTACCTGTATTCATACATGTATGTATACATGCACACATGCAATGTACACACACACATTTTACATGCATGTATGCCTGCCTGCAAGCCTGTGTGTATGTATATATGCATGTATATTTGCATGTGTGTGTGTATGCATGTGTATATGCATGTCTGTATGTATACATGGGTGTTGGTGGTTGTGCTGGGTTGGTGTTTTGTCAACTTACACAAATCTGGACATATCTGGGAGGAAGGAGCATCAACTGAAGAATTACTCTATGAACCAACCTGGAAAGATGCTGTGTTTGCACAGACTGACTGATTAAAACTACAGTTCTGCAGAGAGGTTGGAATGTTGCAGGTCCAAAGGCTAGTTACTTTATCTTGGGCTAATTCCAGCCCTCTGGAATGCCATTCCTTACGCCTTCCCTGACCCCCACACTAACATCCTGTGACTAATAGATAAAAACCTGTTGGAATCTAGAAACTCAGCAGACCACCAGCTTCCGCCAATCCGAAAGCTAAGCTGTCATCAGATAGCATCTTGAGCCTACAGAAAAGCTTCCCCCATCTCTCCAAACCGGCCTCTCTGATGACACACCCACCAATGTGTTCTCTGTTCTGTAAAACTCTAAAGACTTCATGATACTGCTTCTACAGTGGAATATAGAATTTGGGATAACCTGGATCTGGCCTGGGAACTCAGGAGACAGAGGCAGGCAGATCTCTGAGTTTGAGGCCAGCCTGACCTAAAGTGAGTTCCAGGACAGCCAGGGCTTCACAGAGAAATCCTGTCTTAAAAAACCAAAACCAAACCGAGCAAACAAACAAACAAAAACCACACACACACACACACACACACACACACACACACACAAACACACAAACTATTGATGTGGGAGGGTCCAGCCCACGGCCTTAGTTCCTGCCTCGAGTCTCTGCCTTGACTTCCCTTCAAGATGGCGTGGCCATGATGAGCAAGCCAAATAAGCTCCAGCAACAGAAAGCAAACCGGAACAGCGGTGGTGCTGCGGTGCTGGGTGGGTGGGGGCCAGGGGACAAGGTGCAGGAGTCTGTCCTCACCTTCCGCTGTGTCGGGCCTGGGGACAGAACTGAAGTTGTCGGGCTTTGCCAGCTGAACCACCTTACCTGTCCCCAAAAGGGTTAATGTCTAAGGTTAAGCCGAGACCCATGTCTGTGTGTTTGAACCTTCCGGGCTGGAGGGGGCGGGGCTCAGGAGACCCGGAAGTAAACAGACCTCAAGAGTCCTGGAAAGAAAGCTCCCGAGCTCAGAAGACTCCTCCCCTAGGGTTTGGGGACAGTAAACCGTTGTTGGGGAAGGGGACTCTGGCCCGCAGAGCTGCCTCCAGGTGCCCTCCAGGGTTGCAGCTTTCCCGAATTCTCACCTGTGTAGGGTGGCCTTTCCAGCCAAGCAGGCCTTTAGTAAATACCGCCCCACCCGTACTTCCCTAACTTCAATAAAATCACTGGATCCTCAAGTAGCGCGGACTTTTAGTGGAATGGCTGCTTCAGGTTGTCATCGCTCCTGTCTGGGTGAATAGATGTTTGTGCACACAACACTCAGCTACTTTAAATTCCTTAAGACAATGCGCGTGTTTCTAGGGAAAAGGTCCCTGAAAGTCCAGCTCTTCCGGCACTCCAGCGCCTTTCTGGACTCCTTCCAGAGATGGTACTAATACAGGCATAAGATTGTGATTTTTATTCTGGCACCAGATACCCCGGAAAGCAGTACACTACCGCTTGCAACTAATCAAGACATATTTGTGAAGCGTGCTGGCCACTGGGCGTGGCCCGGGATCCTCTCCGGTTCTAGATGGATGTAGGGTAGGAGTTGAAGTGTGAGATCCACTGGACCCCACCGAGCAAAGGAGAAAGGTTACAGCTCTCCCAGCTACACTTTCTCTGGGCCCAGCACTTACCCTTGGGGATGGTTGATGCCCTGCCCCCAACCAGCTTTCGGGGTTACCTTTGTGTCCCTCCCCTCAGCTCCAGCCTAGTACCTAGTCTACCCTGAAGTGAATGCAGGGGAAACAGTTGTGGGGTGAAAACATGACGATGGTCTGGGATGTCCTGAGAAGCTGGGGACACGTTGGGTGTTCTCTCAACGTCCCCCTCAGAGCATCCGGTGGCCCACTTTTAGGTCTGAAGGTCACTGCCAAGAAAGAGAAGCCGCTAAAGTGACACCTCTGAACCCACATGACTTGACACAAAAGCTAAGAGGAATGCAGAACACAAGCCTCTCAGGTGTCTGTCCCTTGTTGTCTCTGAGGAAGTGACAGTGTCATCAGATAGGGTTTGGAGCAGGGTGACCTGCTGGCCTTTGGGCATCACTGTGACCCACAGGTTATTTAAGTCGCTCTCTGCTCAGCAGACAGGAGGAATAAGAATAGATAGAAGGTTCTGGTAAACACCGCATGTGGTCACTGCAGGGGCACCTGGAATTGAGGACACTGCAGAATTAACACATAGTGGACCAAAGCAGAAAGAGGTGAAGCTAGATGAACGGCCTCATCTGGTGCCTGGGACAAGCAAAATACCCCAAGGAGATGAATGGAGGAAGCGGTGAGTCAGCAGATACCAGGAAGCGCAGGGGCCTTGAGTCTGAGGGCAGCATCCTTGCAGGCTCGGTGGGGAAGCAGCCCTTCCAGGACATCAGGCAGCCCTTCTGTGCAGACGACTCACTAAGGGCAAGAGCAGTGTGGAAGGAAGGTTAGGGCCTGTGCTTGCAGGTCACACTGGGATGAGCTTGGAGGAATATTGTCCATGGTGGTTCTCCGGGAGTTCCAGGGTTTCTCTATGCAGCCCAGGCGGGTCTTGAACTCATTATAGAGCTTAGGTTGGCCTTGAACTTTGGATGAGCTTCTTGTCTCAGCCTCCTCTATCCTGGAATTACAACCGTGTGTCATCTGGCTGTCCCGGAGTTCTAGCGAGGACTGGGCACGAAGACTGTGACGTGTTTAGTGCCACACGTGACTCTCAAACTGCTCTCCGTGGGAGCTGGAGAGATGGTTCAGGTGGTAAAGGGCCTGCCACGGGGGTGGGAGGACCCGAATTCAGTACTCTTAGAACTCACATATAAAGGCCAAGGAGAGAAGCTCATGCCTGTAACCCTAGTGCTGTGGAGGTGGAGACAGGAGGATGCCTGAATTCTCTGGCCAGCCAGTCCAGCTAAACTGGTGGCTCCAGGTTAAGTGAGAGATCCTGTCAAAA